ATAAAACAAACAAAAACAAAAAACCATGTTTTTCAAATTTAAAACATGCTTATCATTTAAATTTCTGCGATATTGCTAAATGTGCGCAACATTCCGGATTTAGATTTTTTCCGGATTTTCTCCGGATCTAGTTGTGATGATGCGGCAACCGGGTCTGGAAAGGGGTATCACCGAGAACGGTTTGTTAAGATTTATAAATTAATGAGGAGCCGGATTGGGACTGCGAGTATGTTTTTATTTCCATCCTCGATTTCCTCGCGGTTTCAATCAAAGCGTTTTGATTGTTTCCATCAACCCCGTCACTGTGGGTCAATTGATTGCCAAATTGCGTGAGGCTCCTCTCTGATAAGTCAATATTTATTCAAATAAAAGGCCTGATGTTCATTCCGCCACCGTCTGATTAACGAGGGGGCATCCGTACAAATTATTTGGATGGCGACTGACGAAATATTCTGAAGCTTAAACTGTTTTTAATTTTCGCCTCTTTCCCTTGTTAGGGAAAATATCCTATTTAGCTCAATGGAGAATTTGCACGCAATTTTTTTATTGCTTCATCTGAACGTGCCTAATGAGCTGAGTTCGCAACATTTTTCATAATTTTTTTCTGACATGGGAAATTGGAGAAAAATTGATTTAAAAGTGAGAAAATGCGCCGCCTTGTGACGTCATCTGGCGGCATTTCCCATTTAAACACATGTATTTTAGCAGAATCGGTTATTTTGTCATATCTCCTCTAATAATTGCTCAATTTATGAATCAAGGGTATCTTCGTGTTCAGTTCACTCAGAGGATTCCACTTAAACAGGAAATTCATCAAATTTCAGACCCTTGCAAATTCTCCATTATCAGAGTATTTGCAAACCAAAAAGTGAAAGAGAAATCTTTAAAATTTCCTGGCATTCTAACAAATTATTTGGATGGCTGTTGATGATCGAGGAAATATTCTGAAGCTCAAAACTGTTTTTAATTTTCGCCTCTTTCTCTTGATAGGGAAAATATCCTATTTAGCTCAATTATCAGAGTGTTCGCAAACCAAAAAGTGAATGAGAAATCTTCAAGATTGCCTATTTATTGCGATAATATAATAAACTTATCAGAGGAATCTGCTCCATTGCGAGCTCGTTGCACGTGCAAGAGAAACAGTCAAGTGAGTAAAATTAGGCAAATCATGTAGTTTTTCCGAATTGACGGCCATCAATTTTGCATGCGCAGAAAGGGATGAAAGACAACCTAACCTAAATAAGCAAACGGTGTCAGAATCCTGTTGTCGCGTATGAGTCCAATCTGTTGATTTCTCCCGTCTTCCTCCCTCTTTTTTATTTATTTTTTATTCATTTCTATATTTTTAAAGGAAATTTTGATATTTTTTGCAAGAACCAAAATTTTAAATTAATCAGAATCATACACAAGGAAAGTTTGTAGCAGTTTAAGAGACGCTTTTTTTTTGTATAGGTAAAGTTCTCATAAGTCTCTCTTTCCGCAAACTTGAGTGTCGGCTACTAAAAAAAGTCTCAGATCGATGGTGAAACTACTAGACCACGGACCTTGTTTCCGGCGTTAGAAAATTTCCTCTCCCATTTTAATTTTGTTAAGACAAATAAATTAAAAGCATTGCTTGAAGTTTTCACCAAGTTTCTTTCAAACAGAGAAAAAAGTAACAGAAGTTTTCAAGAATAAACACCGAGAAGTTTTGTATCTAAAAATTAAAATATGACAGGAAGTCTGCAACATTGCAGACCGTCAGACGTGGTCTAGTAATTTTACCGTCGATGTAGATTGTCCATACCACCTCACTGTATCACTGTATCTTTTGCTTGCAACAAATCCATGCATCATCTACGTGGTCTGCCCGGAAAGTATCAGGACTTTTTAGATTTCGAGAACTTAAGCTTACCTATGACATTGTGGCTTTAATTTCCTTCGAAGTACTCTCCGCAAGACACAATGCGCTTGTTCCAGCGATTTTTGAGCTTTTCAAAACAGTCCAAAAAGCACTCCTTTGGAATGTCCTTCAGCGCTCTCGTCGTATTCTCTTTGATGTCATTGATGGAGTCAAATCGAGTCCCTTTCATTGGAGATTTCAGCTTTGGGAACAGCCAGAAGTCACAAGGAGCTAAGTCTGGACTGTATGGAGGATTTGGAACCAGAGGAATACCGTGCTTTGTCAAAAACTGTTGCACAAGGCATGAGGAATGAGTCGGAGCGTCGTCATGTTGGAGCATCCAGTCACCGGGGCCCGAGTTTTTCAGCTTAAATTTCCGCAACGATGGTCTTCGGGATATTTAGCTGCTCTTCCAGTTCCCGCACGTTAACTAACGTAGACTATCTTGGGCAATAGCTCCCCGAACTTTTTCTACGTTATCGGGAGAATTCGTCGACGAAGGTCCCCCGGATCGCGGATCACTAGCGTTTGTTTCACAACCCGATTTAAAGCTATTATACCACTCGTAAATATTGCTCTTGCTCATAGAATCAGTGCCGAAAGCTTTCCGAATCATTTCCATGGTCTCCTTAGCAGTTTTTTTCTAGATTAAAGCAAAATTGAATACAAATTCTCTGATCTTCGCGCTCGGTCATTTCACGAAATAAAAAAAAAAAAAAATGCGACGCTAGCACTTGACACACACACTTTGATCAGTTCATTGCAATCGACTGATTAAAGGTGTGAAAGCCCGATTTTGTGGCTGCATTGGAGAGGACATGAGCAAAGTCCAACCCAAATTTCAGCTCATTATCTGCATTACATTCCGAGATAATCAAAAAGTCCTTATACTTTCCGGACAGACCACGTATAATTGAGTGCCACCATTTAATATAACTATCAATCCGTCCTTGGGATAGAGTCTCCGTAAAGTCCATATAGTTTCGTCTGTATCATTGTCGTATACGCAAGTTGTGATTTAATGAGAAGGCTTTAAATCTCTGATACGTTGAGAGAAGTTGTTATGACATTGTATTCGTCAAAAGAAGACTTGGTTTGTTGTGTATCACGAATAGAAACTGTCAATGCTGATGACAGAACCTTCTGTTCACAGGACTCCTGCACTTCCTTTGTTGTATGTACAGAGCTTTGATTCAAAAACTTGGTTTTTCCTCTAAATTGCACTTTGACTTTAGCGTATCCCAGGCACTTAAAAGGTTCTTTGGTAAAACTGAAAAATGGCCTATTTGTAGGATGTAGGAGTGTGTTCGGAAACAGTTTTTTAAAGGTGTGGACATTGATGACTGAACAAGCGCTACCGGTGTCTAACTCCATTTTGACGAGTTGATCGTTAATGTAAACTTCTAAAAAAGTTGGGGGTGGTGGGTGGAGCGTTGCACTTCCTTTGTTATACGTACAGAGTTTTTCTGTCGTGAGAGCAGAACATCGGTCATGAGCACAAAGTATTCTGTCCTCATACCAAAAACTTCTATGGCTGTAGCAAAGAAACTACAGAAGCCTTGTGAAAGGAACTTTTTTTTAGTGCTCTTTCGTGCAACAGGCCATTCTTCTCTATTTATTCAGAAATTTTGAAGTGGGTCAATTTTTGGGGAAATATTAGTAAGCGAACTTGAGGAAGTTTCCAACCGACGCGCAAATTTGATAACCACATCGTTGAGTTGTCTGACACCGAGGGAAATTCGTTTCAATTAGCCCGCGCCCGCTCCATTTCATGCAACTCTATTATTTTCATACAATCTGATGCACACCGGCGTGTTACCAGTATCGATTCACCCGAGTTCTCTCCACGAACCCGAATGTCGGAATGTTCCGAGGGTAATGCACCGAATTAATTCCGAATTGTTCTTTCCCCTGGATTATTCATCTCCGTTTGTTTTTTGGAAGACAGAAGTTTCAAACGAAGCGTGCTCCCCAACTTTATCCCCCTCATTTATATTCACTATACACAGTCCCTTACAGGTTTTTTGTGATTTTTAAAGGCAGGTTTTCTCTCCGCTTCCGACCCCTTTTCAACGACCTTCTTCTGCGGACCATGCTCATCAGCGCACGCTCTCCATGGAGTGGGATTCATTACAACGAAGAAAACTGTTTCCTTATCAGCTGCTTGTCGCGCTTAGGAGGCTTATAATCAAAGGAGGTTACATTTTTATCGAGGCAAGGTGAGTTCACGTCAACCGACGTAAGTCATCACGGCAAAAAGCTGGTTTAAGGTTGTCAGATAAGATTTCGATTGCCGTAACAACTCGTTTCCATTGCAACGAGTTTTTTCCTCAACGAAACGAGAAAGTGCCTTATGGCCTGGTTACACGATCAAATTCCCGTCAACTTCCGATCAAAATTATGACCAAGATGGCGGTCGATAGTTATCTAGATTGATGAGTAAAATCAATTAAAACAGCGTGTTGATTGAAATAAGCATGAAATGAGCACGGTTATGTGGAAATCAGATGATGGATGAGCCCCACAGCTCCATCATCCACCATCAAATTTTTGCAGGCCGCAGAAATTTGATGGTAGATGGTGCGCACCAGTCACCATTTGATCGGAAATTGGTGGAAATTTGAGCGTGTCCAGCGCACTAGAAACGGGTCTCTTTTTGCAGTTAGTTTGATTTGTTTTTCATTCCGCCCAATTTTTTGAATCATGTTACTTACTATATATCATTACAAGTCTGACACAAAAAGGTCTTAAATGGACTACTTTCTGAAACATATCTGTTTAAATCAGAAGGATCCTAATTGAATATTTATCTCAATAGAATTCCAGTTACGTTTACAAAATTGAAGAAATGTCCTGATCTTTTACAAAAGTCCGCAGTTTTCAGTCGACTTCGAGTGGATTTTTTTGCGGGAAATAATTGACAAAGGTCTCTCATGATTCAGTTAAAACGATTTTCTAAATGTAAATATCTCAAAATCTGAAGATTTATGTCATTCATTTGAAAAATTGCTGTCGCATCTGCATTTACCGACTTGCAGTGTATCAATGTTTCATATATGTATTTGAATCCGTGCCAATTAAATCCTGAAGAAAATCTTGAGTGTTATAATGAGGTTACCTTTTGGTTTTTGTTGCGGTTGTTGAATACTTCAAAAGATAAAACCTGTGAACACAATCAGACATGCTATTATTAACAATTTGGAATTTATTTTGCAGTTAAAGAATTACGAATCAAAGTACTTTATGTTTTGTGTTTTTAGCGTTTAATCGTGCTTTTAAGAATGGCATTATGAATCGGTAGTGAAGCATGATTTCAACGTGTAGACTCCTCTAAATAAGCGCAACTGCGACTCGCGGCATCTGATCGGCACTACTGCGGTGTTTAGTAGCCAGCTCTACTGCCTTTCAATGCTGAGCAGTACAGCAGCGCTTAGACGCCAGCCCTCAACGGCCCACCACTAACGGCCAGTAATGCTCAGCACTAACGGCCAGTAATGCTCAGCACTAACGGCCAGTAATGCTCAGCACTAACGGCCAGTAATGCTCAGCACTAACGTTGTTTTTTCCGTGATCATTTTTATCTCTCTTACAATTTGTGAATTATGTGTTGTCTCGGGATCAATCCATTCGGTAGTTTCCAGCACTTACATACGGAATTTATCAAATTTCAGACTCCTTTAAAGTTTCCATTGTTCTTGATTAGTATCTGTAATGTAAGTGCAACGGCTTAGTTATATTTTTTACCTCGAGCGCCCTTTTTATTCGGGGAGAAATGAGAGAATCGGAAGGTTTTGTAAGCGTTGAAACCCTAATGCAGGCAACTCGTGCTTGTTAAGTTCTTCAACGATGCACGACCAACGAAACTACGTACATTTTCTTTGATCTCGGTCGAAAATATAAGTCGCAGTTTGGAACGAACGTGGAACTGCCTGGCCTCCTAGCAAGAGCACTTGGAACTTTTGCCCGGAGCGACTACATTACCTGAAGGGCACTTGGAGCCGATTTTGACGTGATCAGCTCTCCTTGCATCCTCATCCGATAAGCTTTCGAATTAACCGATGCAAAACAGATGCAAATTGAGCCTCTGCCCGGGTAGAGTGACTGAAAGTTCCATCTAATTGAACGAGCACTTGAAAAATGCCTCGGTGAGTGAATTATGTAAGACGTTGTCACTTAACGCAGAAATGCTGTGTTGTTCGTTATTCTAATAGACTCTCATTAACGTAATCTAAATGCAAGTGCATTTTCCCAGGGATGCTCTCGCAAGACGGTATCATGATATCGTGGCAAGTCAAAAGGCTTCGGCATTACATCGGGGTCAAAATACGAGTGGGTAATTCCTGTAAAAGTTATACCCATGAAATTTTCTAAAAAATGAGCTTACATTGGTGCAGGGAGTAAATCGGAAATCAAATTTCTCCGATTTCAAGTGAACTATTTTGGTTGGATAAAATTATTTAGTCTATTTCGTGGGCGGTCTAAACCCTTTTTAACCTCGAACACGTTTATTTTATAATTATTTGTTTTTTTCTTTCTTTCTGTTTTTTTAAGTAATTGAGGTTGTTATCGATGAGACGTTAAATTTCTTTAAAGTAGAAAAGAATATTTAAATTGAAAAAATAAATATTATAATTGTCGTTATTTTTCTCTTTGGAGGAAACTATTTTGCGCGACAATCGACGCCCAGATTTTTGATACCTATCCTAGCTTTTCATAAAGCTTAGTTCAACCGGTGAGTGATATTGACATGTCTCCAAATTGAAAAAAAAGGCTACCACTTTTCAGTGTTACTTTAGATTGCGGAGAGGAAACCGTCAACGATTTCAGCCTTATTCTCCTCTTTTTTTGTTTGAAAAATAAGTGATTAACTATTAGGCATTGATCAAATGCAGAATTCTCATACACACACTCCAACAGCCACAACAGTATACTCAAAGCATATCTCTTTTACAGGGTTCTCCTGAAAAAGTAAGTTTGACTCAAATGAGGAAACGAAAATTATGGGATTTCCTTGAAACCCGCGCAACCCTGCTTATTGCAGATTACTTTGATCCCGCAAAAGCTGCTTAAGCTTGCGAGACTTTCATATAAAACTTTTCCGACTGCTTTAACCGTCTTGGTAATCTAGACGTCTTTTACCGCTTAAAATAAGATTGAGGGATCTAGTGCATAAGTCTCTCCTTTCAAGTTCCGTCAGATCGGACAGCTAGAATATTTGAAAACGATTCCGAGCCACACTTTCATACAAAGCCTTCAAACCCGTTCTCTTATGCAAATTTTCGAACTTTAAATTATGACAGCTCCTTGCTCTGTCGGCTTTGTTTCTGCATTAGCTACATGACTTTACCTCCCCACTTCTTCATGCTCCTTCTGCAGAACTATCCATACTTATTCAAAGGCCTCATTATTTCAACGTCTGATTTACTTTGTTTAAAACTTGATTTACTTTGGAGAAAAGGTCATCAGTCCACGGTCGTGTGACGAGCCGTCAAAAGAAATCCGATCGAGTTCCATACACGGATCTTTGTGCCGCCTTTTGTTGCCAACTTGCGCGCTGTAAATGCCGTACCTCATTGAGGTGGTTTTTAAATGTATACATGGTGCTAATTTTGAATAAAGATTTGCAATGCGGATGAGAACTGTAAATTGTTTATTTTTGCAACATTGTTCCTCCTTTCTATTGAGGTCAGAGGCCTGTTTGTCCATCTTCAACTCCAAGGATTTTTCGTAACCATTCGTAAACTTATAATTAAACAAATTTACCTAGTCGTTTATTGCATTGGTCTCCACATTGTTTTTATCATGAAATAATCAAATATAAATTTAAGTTCTACTAATATTTTAGACTACTGAAAGGTTTTAATATTGTGAGGGGTAGGTAAATGAAAATTTAGAAACATTTGGGGAAATGTTTAAGAATTAAATATCCGATTTATAGTTAGAATTTTAAAGCAATGTATAGAGTGAAATAAAATTATCTCCTCCAAGGATGTTACTGTCCTTCCAAGGACAAAAAACAGCTCGCCTTTTATGCCTTAGACGGTTGTCTAGGTTGTCTCTCATGTTTCCCCCTCAAAATTTTTTACTGAATGAATGCGCTTTTTTTCTTTACTACATATTTTCTCTGGGACTCAAAAAAGTGAAGTTAATCTTGCATTTTTCTCCTACTGCCCTACTCCTTATGCGCGATGATACCACCCGCAGATCCTGCATTTTTCTTTTCATTCACTTCATATTTCCCTCGAGGCGTAAGAGACAGATATCTTTTTGTACTCCTGGAAAAAAAAAAAACAACGAGACTCAGGTGTCAGGGTGTTTCCATTTGCTCGATTTCACTGCGTCAAACTAGGATCTCTCATCGTATTTGGAGGAAGCGTACTTTTGCATGTGAGGAATTTTAGGAACTTGAATCGGTCAATCTCTTACGTATCAAGCCGTCAGAGCCCGTCTCACCTCAGCACTTTGCGAGATTAATTATTGTAGTGGATAGTATTATTTAGAATAAACAACGGCTCTCAGAGCATTTTTTGATGCGTCAACAGACAATGATACAGACTTGCTTACATCAAAATTGGTTAGTGCAGGGACATTATTAATCGTTTCCATCAAATGAACAAATTCATCGTTCTGAATCTGAGACCACTCCCGTAAATTCTCTTTCTTGAGCCATTTCTTCAACTTGTGTGTGTTTTTTTTCGACGAATTAGGAATGAACGATCGCAAGTAATTGACAACACCCAAATCTCTCTGCAAGTCCGTTATTTGGTTGGAGGTGGCATTTTTTGTGTGGCTTCAATGAATGTGCCTCCAATTGAAAGTGACTAAATCCAAATCTTTCAAAACGTCTTGATCTCCCCCCCCCCNCCGTATTATTTTCAAAAATAAGCGATGAGCTATGAATACTAGATGAAATTTATTATTATGCTCAATCAGTCCGTCGCTCTGACATCTAAATAGCACATTTGGATTTTCAAAGACTGGTTTGAGAGAGAATGACTACCCTTCTCGTTACTTTATTGATTGCAGGATGTCATAAAATACGGAGTTATAATATCATGCATGACATTTAAATACACGAGAAGCATTTACGGAGGAAAAAACGAAAAGAAAATGTGGATTTGATGAGTTATTTTTCACAGTGTATCGAAAACCTGTGAGCTCTCCACCGCATAATTTTACAATATTTCGTAAACTTTCAAAGCTTGATTGTCTGCCTAGGCATTTGACAAAATGCCTGATTTAACTGACTACCCTTCTCGTTACTATATTGATTGCAGGATTTCATAAAATACAGAGTTATAAAGTCATGACATTTAAATACACGAGAAGCATTTAAGGGGGAAAAAACGAGAAGAAAATGTGGATTCGATGAGTTATTTTTCACAGTGTATCGAAAACCTGTGAGCTCTTCACCGCATAAATTTACAATATTTCGTAAACTTTCAAAGCTCGACTGTCTGCCTAGGCATTTGACAAAATGCCCGATTTAACTAATTGCCTGCGACGTATGAAGCATCATGTGTGCACGTGCATAAACTTATTTCGCGTCAGAAAAGCTACGAAGCAAAATATTTTTGCTCACTCGGCGGGGGAGGGGGGATCTTGAGTGATGTTAACACAGACTAGTGTCTGCTCGGAGAAAGCGCCCGTTCTTTTGACGGCAACATTGCTGTTTTTCATGGCAGCTCTCATGTTCGTACTCTTTGAGTCTTGGCGAGCATGAGTCGGGTTCAAAAGGCTGGAACGTCGTGTCGCTCGGCGCCCTGCTCTGCCCCGTCGAAGGATCGTCGAACATCAAACAGTCTCGTCCTTGGTAATTGAAATTACCCTGCACATCCGCGTCTCAAAGTTCCTCTTGTTTACCGGCAGAGCAGTCCTTCACTAATCATCCCTTAGCAATTGAGCAAACACCGCCGTCAAACCGTATGGTTCCTCCGAAAATCATATAAGTTCTTCCGAAGTTCTAGGTCTCTGAAAAGCAGTAATCGATGAAGGAACGATACTGCCTTTTTGCAGAATTTTTGTCGATCAGAGAGGTCGTACGTGAAATTGAAATGTTGCATGTGTGAGGAATTTGCGATTTAACTGTTGATTCTTTTGTAAAAAATCGCAGGAAACACGATGGTGCCACTGGTTTTCTCGGAAATCATCTTTCAAGCTCAAA